GGTCTAAATGTTAAGAAAAATAATAGAGTATGGCGATTAGTTAGAACTTATTTGTTTACATCATAAAATTATTTTTCTAATAGACAATAAATATAACAGTCAAATTCATGCAATTGCACGTGCCTATTTTTACTAGTTTCTTAAAAAAAATGAAAATATTTTATGACATTAAAATATTTAAAGGAAAATAATAAAATAAAAAGTTCATGATTTTTTTCTAGATTTATTAGATTTTGATTAAGTAAAAGAGTACTAAGGTCATTTTACATCTTAAAAATCAACTTAAGAGTACCAAAAAAAAGTGGTCAAAGTAAATAATATTTAAATTACGTTCTGAAGGTGGCTTCCGAATCTACAAAACTCACCCTATCAAAATAAGCTGTGCGGTCTAAATGTTAAGAAAAATAATAGAGTATGGCGATTAGTTAGAACTTATTTGTTTACATCATAAAATTATTTTTCTAATAGACAATAAATATAACAGTCAAATTCATGCAATTGCACGTGCCTATTTTTACTAGTTTCTTAAAAAAAATGAAAATATTTTATGACATTAAAATATTTAAAGGAAAATAATAAAATAAAAAGTTCATGATTTTTTTCTAGATTTATTAGATTTTGATTAAGTAAAAGAGTACTAAGGTCATTTTACATCTTAAAAATCAACTTAAGAGTACCAAGAATATATTTTTAAAAATGTTGAGGTGTCATTTTAATATTATCAAGAACACAAGATACTAAAAGCATATTTCGCTATATACATTGTCGCTTACGTTCATTAACATGAAATACAACAAATCAGTCAATATACATATTTTTATGCTATGTATTCACTTAATTGCCATAAAAAATACATATTTTGAGGATTAATATACATTGTCGTTTCTTATAACTTAACATATACATCTTTATATGCAAATATACACACCTTATATATAAATATACACGAAAATGATAGAATTGTACATCTGCCATTTCAGTCCGGTAAACAGTAACCGCCGGATTAAAGACCTTGCCTATAAATATATATATAGGCAAAGTCTCTGGTCAGGCACTTGAAAAGTGCCTGATCAGAACGGCACTTGTACATTTATGTTGAAGTGTGTATATTTATATGCATTTCGTGTATATATTTATATGTAAAGATGTATATAAAAAATGATAATGTACATTAATCCTCGAAATATGTATATTTTATAGTAATTAAGTGAATATATAGCATAAAAATATGTATATTGGCTTATTTGTTGTATTTCATGTTAATGAACGTGAACGACAATGTATATTAATTATAGAAACATGTATATTTTTAAGCAATAAGTGAACACATACGGAAATAAGATGTATATTGGCTAATTTGTTGTATTACATGTTATTGAACGTCGTATGGAAGTTTTTTTTTACGTAATGCTATAGGAAACGGCAATATACATGTATTTCTTATTTAAATTAAGTGAACATATAACATAGTAATATGTATATTGATTGAACTTGGTTTGGAAGTTATTTTTGCTTGAAAAAGTCTTTAGTCATTTGAAGATTGAATATTGTTGTCGTTCTAACAAGTTGTAATTTGTTGTATGAGACATGTGGATCTGATATAAATAAGTGAATAACTGACAGAGTAATGTGTACAATGACTTAGTCGTTGTTGTTCAATAAAGTTGTTTATAGTTTGCTTGTACACTAAAAAAAGCATGCTGATGTAACTGTAAAATATAAGTTGTATAAATGTTTGATTTGCGCAAAATTTTATTTTTGTAAGAAGAAGATATTACGAACGACCACAAGCATGATATTGCTTACCTTTAGAGGTCGTGGCTTAATGCATGACATTGGCTTGATTTTCATTTGAATAAGTTCCTTCACTTGTTTGGACATTAACATCAGCTAAGAAAATAACTAATACAACATCGTAATATGCTAGATAATGTTGAAGTGTTGAAACAAATAAAAATGCTATTTCATTAGGAATGCTTAGTAAAGACAAAACAGATACGTCTTACTAATAGGACTTGATATATGATATTTGCCTTTTAAAAGGGACGCGTCCTACTTTTGGATGTAGTAAGTATGTGATTCGGATTGTTGTCCGAAGGAGATAGTAAATCCCTCGTGTTCGGTATTCATGTGAGGGTGGTAGCACTGTTGGGAGGAGCTTATATTTTCCAAAGACATTTGTGTCGGGTGGGTGCTGTCGTCGTTCCCTTCTAAACAAATCAGCATGGTTTTGGCCTTGTCTTTCTTTAATGGACATGTTTGTTTGTTGTGCCCATGGCCCTTACACAGGGCACACTTCCTTCTTAATCTTTCCAAACCTAATTCTTCCTGAGCACTAGGCCCCACTTGCGGCCGCTTTGCCGTTCCCTTGTTTCGAACAACAATAGGATCTTTTAGTACTTCAAATGGATTGATTTCATCAATAGACTCTTCTTGCACAAGAGGTGGCGCCCTTTCCATCAAGCTCTTAAATTTTAAACATAAATTTGCAAGCTCTGTGTTTGTTGGTAGAAATCCTCCACTTTCATTGCATAGTATGCTACTTGGTTGAAGTTGGAACTGAGGGTTCCGAACCTAGTTAGTTCCAATATCTTCTATGGGACCTCGTTATTACTTTGATATCTGGTTTGGAATTGGGCCTTTGCATGAACAGCCCACCTGGACAGAACAAGCGAATCTGGAATTCTGGTTATGTTTAGAAACTTCAGAACTGAAAATATGTGTCTGCACAGATATCCATCAGTCTCGAAGAGTAAGCAATTGCACGTTATATGACTGTCAGAGATACGACGTATAACATTGTGTTCGGAGTCTTCGTTTGGGAACTTGATGATTGAAAAATTTATATACCCATCGATCTCATCAACTTGCCTAACAGTGTATGCATGTATGAGCTTTATTTCGTGAGAAACCTTTTTTGTATAAATTCTTCTCGTAAACAAAGAGGCAGCGTGTTGATAGTATGGGTTTAGAATATCTGCATGTCGCAAAGAAGGAATACTGTGTCGGGTGGAGAAGTCATCCTGCAAATCTTTGTGGCGCAGCTTGTTAATGGTGTGGTCAACCAAAGATACAAAGTCCGTGAGAGACTTCGTACTGTCGAGGAATTGTTTGATTGTTCTATTCATCGACTCGCTACATTGAGTGGTTCGCATGCCTGCACAGAAATTGCCAGGCAGATAAGTTTCAGCCCAGCTCTCCCTTTTTTCAAACATACATGTTGCCCAGTAGTTGTTCTCTAGTTCATATGCCAGAATCAAAGAATGCCACCTATCGAGAAACTCAGGTTCGGAGTAGTATCCGTACATAATTTCCTTGAAGTCCCGCTTAAAGTTTATATCCTTCACATTGTTCGCTACGTTCTCCATTAGATGCCATCCGCATAGCCTGTTCTTAGATTCTGGAAAGACTTGTGCTATGGCATTCTTCATGGCATTGTCACCGTTAGTAACGACAACTTTTGGCTTCCTATTATTCATTCCTTGGAGAAACATTTATAGAACCCAGACAAACGTATCAACTGTTTCGTCGAGAAGGAGAGCAATGCCAAACACTGTTGTCATCCAGTGGTTGTTTACCCCAACTAGCAAAAGCAAAGGTTTGTGGTATTTGTTAGTCCTGTATGTTGTGTCGAAGGCCACGACATCGCCAAAGACCGCGTAATCTCTCCTCGAAACCCCGTCCGACCACATTATGTTACACAATCTGTTTTCTTCATCGGCATTGTAGACGCAGTAAAAGTCCCCGCCGTGGTTCCTCGCCAAGCATCTAATGTAACCAAGCATGCCATCTGAGTCCGTGATGTTTTGATGTTGGTCCTTTGCATTGCGCACTCGCATTAGCTTGTTATGGATGTCCTTTTCAAGGAAAGGGAGCTTGTCGTGTCCCCCCGATTCTAATGCGATAAAGTCTATTATTTGAACATTTTTCATGCCAGCCCGTTTCATTGACTCACACCTAGCAACAACGTCATCAGTGACATTGCGATTTGATCTGAGAAACCTGATTTCTTGTGGTGACGCACATTCGTGCTTGTGGTTAGGGTTGAAATGTCTACATACCCACTTATTTGTAGTTTTGCTTCTTATTACCTGAATACTAGCTTCGCACCCACAACGTGTTTCAAACGCCGCCGCTCTTGAACGGTGTTCTAGTTCCAACCACTTCCATCTCCTAAAACCTTGTCTCGAGCAGCACCACCATCTACCCCAACGTTCACCGTCCTCTTCCTTTCTGGTACTATCCTTCCTGTAGCTGAAGCCTATATGTTTGGAGTATAACTTGTAGAAGTTATCCCAGAGTTCTTCCGTATCAAGTTCTTTCCCAAGTAAGTCTTCTGGTAGCAAATCCCAAGCCGTTTTTGTCAAGACTAAAGTGGTACAGAAATCTTACCACTCCATACTGTACCGGTGCTCTAGTTTGAATTTGGACTAGTGTAGTGGTTTAGTCTGCACATAAAGGAGACCAAGAGTGTATATAGTGCTCCCATTACAGAATTGTGTAAAGATATAAGTGAACATCCATAGACTCAATATTGCAACTATCAACTTGCAACGTTTTTATTGTTAAATGACGTGTTTTATTTTGGCTAATGTCTAGTGTGGCCATGAATGAATAAAAAAAATTCTCAACAGAGTTTTTGTGGAGAAAATGACTTTAAACTTCAAAATGGACATAAGAAATGAGGAAACAGAGACAATGAGACTTGTGAATCGTGTTGTAAAGGAGCAGTGTACCTGTGGTAAACAGTCATTACGATTCAGCCCGCCTAGCAATACGATTACAACAGCCTTTGGAGACGGAAGTAATGCTCTAACTTTTAGAATCACTGCATGCTTCTCCGAAGTAGCCTCAATTTCTTTAGTTAATGGCCAGACATGTAAATGGTGTTTACATGTTCTCTCACGGTTTATGATCGCATTTAAATGCAACAATTGGTTTGGTACAACCAATTGCGTTCATCACATGTATGACCACGTTTACGAAAAGTAGATACGATCGTTTGTGGTGTTGTTTTGTCATGTGTAGTACACCTATCCACATTGATAATGGGCAGCATGTGAGTTTGAGCATTAAATTCCACATGCTTTAGGCAGCACATGGGCCGAGTATTCTAACGTGTTCCCAGTTGTATCCCATATAATGAGGCCGATTGATTACTTTTGGGGAATTTAAACTTTAACCACGTACGAGGCCAATTTTCTGAGCATGAAATATTATGGTTAACATATTGTACATTAAAAGCTGAGGACATTTTGAAAATATATGTGAAAAAATCAGGAGAACATTGTTTTACACAATGGCCTTCCAGAAGTTCAAGCTAATAAAAGTGCGATGGACATTGTCTTATAAAAGGAAAAAAAGACTTTCATTGCATTACACAAAAATCAAAACATGGCATGTTAATATGGTACGTCATAAGCTTTAACATGCATGCACTACTAATACCAAAAGTTCATATGCATCACTCACATGAATATATGCTATTAAAGACAACATTTTTTTCATTTTAGCTACATAAAATAGTCGGAACGTAATGAACATAAAACATTTCGCTCGGATCTAGTCCAGGGGAATACACTCAACACACACTGGCTCATGTTTGGCTTCCTTCTCGTTCTCTTCGGTTGCATTCCCAAGGTCTTTCACTAGGCTGAGAACACGATCTTTGAGATTCTGGATATCATCTAGAAGGCTCTCGAGTTGGTAGCATTTGCTACGGGAATGTGCTGCCCTCCTAGCAATGGACCTTCGTAGGCGACGCTCAGAATCGTTAAGATTCTCAAGATACTTGCCTCGTTTGCATGTCTCCATGACAAGACGGGTTTGACGGCGACGATGTGTTTTACTTGAAACACATGACTTCTGGTCAGACTTTGGGGACTCCTTAGGGGTTGGGTTGTCAAACACTGGTGTCGTCATTTCTGGCGAAGATGGTGGTTCAGTTTTGATCATGACATTGTTCATCGGGAACAAGTTTACTAGCTTCATTGTGCTCACTTATGCTACAAGAGTGTATCGTTTGAATCTGGGCTATGAAGGCCAGCTTTATATAGAATGTGTTGTCGAGGTTGGGAAACGTTTTATATGCGCGCCAATTGTGCAACTTATGGTTTCCCGCCTAATATGGTCTTCCTTGACATCATATCATGATCTACATTTCCGCATGAATTACGCATTTATACATTCAAAAGCTGTCCAATTGACAGGCTTTCCATCTACAACATCACAGAAAATAAAATCTTTCTTCTTGGATAGAGTGTGTTAGGTTACCTATTGTCCTCAAACACAACATCATAGAATAAATTAACTGATAGCGTGTTGTACCATTTTAAAAGAACTCTATTGTTCAATAATATTATATAATTTACTACAATGATATTCCTACAGACCGTGGCCTATATTTCTGCAACAACTCTGCGTATATACATTCAAAACTGTCTACATAATCATCCCATATACATTCAAAAGCTGGTATAAATTTTTTTCCACGCGCACTGTACGTCGACAATAAATACAAAGGTACACTAGGAATGCTGACGTCGTAACAAATGTGATATTCAAACATCCTATATTGTGTGTTTACATGGACATTTCCGGTTGGAGGCCATGCTTCTATGTTATATAGCTCTGTCATGTTGTACATAAACTACTATTTGAAGTGACTTTTACTGATCCCATTTACTTGGTTTTGTGGGTTGAAACACAACACAGTTGGATACAATGTTTCTCATATTTACACAATGCCGTATAAGGAGATGGTTTAACGTTTTCCATTTGAAAAAAGTTGCCCCGTTTTGAACGAATGATGCAACCTGTGCATGTCTAAGTTGTTGTATTAACTGTCGGAATACCATGGCTTAATATTTTGTAATCCTTGTTCGTTAGATATTCTATTAATAATAAGAAAACGAAATAATCCACGGTGACATGGATTAACTTAACATACAAATATTGGCGTAATACGACAAAGCGCAACATAATAAGAAACTGGAAATGCTCAAAAGGTAGATGAGTTAATGACAGATCAACAGCTGCAGCATCTTAGTGATATATGCCGACAACAGGTATTTGCAACAAACTGGAAATCCTCAAAAGGTAGATGAGTTATTAGGACTTTCCCGATTACCACCACTGTTTCCACCAACAACATGTGGGAGATTCATCCAGAAACGGTAGTCTATGAATTCCGCATACGTCTTCACCCCCTCATCCTTTATATCCTCCACTGCTCTCATGATCTGATCATAATTCCTTTTCGCATTAATCCGTTTTGCTATAGCATTTGCTCTAGTTCTATCAGCCTCTGCTTTGAGAGCCTCATTCTCTGTGGTCAGCGAGCCAACCACCTGCTCAAGTTGCGTTATCTTCTATCGGAGCTCACCAACTTTCGCAGCACGCCAGATTTCTCGATCATTAGCCCTGTTCAACGAATCTATGAGGTTGTTTATGACTAGTAGTGGATCCTTTGGCAAAACAACCTTGTGTGGAATTCTCTCGTCGTCGGGATTCCGTGTTGGCAGTGGGTTGGAAAACAGTGATTTCTCACCGGTGGGTGGGGAGATGGAACGGGACATTTTTTCTGCTCCGACACTTTCGACAGAGAACAAGTAGTCGGTAGAGACAAGGCTGAAATCTGAATACATTCCCCATCACAACTAAAGCTTTATAACAAATCAAATTTTGTATAATTACATCGCTTAATTTTCAAACGAAATCCCCAACATGCCCTTACGTATATATTGTCTTATAGTGAACACCGTGTTGAGGGCTGTAAATTTTGGAAGGTTTTTTTGGGAATCCAAATGACTATTGATTTGTTAATTAAAATCATCCCGGGCCCCTGGCCGCCACACTACGCAAGTCGAGGCCTTTTCACCACGTCTTACCTTTTTCATCAATTTTTTAGGCGATTTTGATTCTACCACGCTTAAGAAAATATAAGGCTCGTGTTTGCACAATTTTATTATTTATTGACATCGATTTTATTTTTTAATATTTTTTACGGACGAAAAGTGAAAAAAATCATAAAAAATTGAATATTCATCAAAAAAAATGGTGACATTGTTGAATTAATTCTTAAAATCCAGATATTAATTTTAGAAGGCCAAAAAAAAAAACAAAAAAAAAGGTTTTAAACCATCCAGGGCCCTCAAGTCGCCCATAGGCGGCTAACTACGACAACCGAATGGGCTTCGTTACCACATCTTACTTTTTTCATCAATTTTTTAGGCGATTTTGATTCTACCACGCCTAAAAAAATGTAAGGCTCGTGTTTGCACAATTTTATTATTTATTGACGTCGTTTTTATTTTTTAATATTTTTTACGGACGAAAAGTGAAAAAATTCATAAAAAATTGAATATTCATAAAAAAAAACGGTGACCATGTTGAATTAATTCTTAAAATCCAGATATTAATTTTAGAAGGCCAAAAAAGGCAAAAAAAAAAAGGTTTTAAACCATCCCGGGCCCTCAAGTCGCCATTAGGCGGCTAACTACGACAACCGAATGGGCTTTGTTACCACGTCTTACTTTTTTCATCAATTTTCTAGGCGATTTTTTTTCTACAATGCCTAGAAAAATGTAAGGATCATGTTTGCACAATATTATTATTTATTGACGTCGTTTTTATTTTTTAATATTTTTTACGGACGAAAAGTGAAAAAATTCATAAAAAAATTGAATATTCACCAAAAAAAAAAAATGGTGACCTTGTTGAATTAATTCTTAAAATCCAGATATTAATTTTAGAAGGCCAAAAAAAAAGGTTTTAACCCATCCCAAGCCCTCAAGTCGCCCTTAGGCGGCTAACTACGACAACCGAATGGGCTTTGTTACCACGTCTTACTTTTTTCATCAATTTTTGAGGCGATTTTTTTTCTACCACGCCTGGAAAAAAGCAAGGCTCGTGTTTGCACAATTTTATTATTTATTGACGTCGTCTTTAATGTTTAATATTTTTTACGGACGAAAAGTGAAAAAATTCATAAAAAATTGAATATTCATCAAAAAAAAATGGTGACCTTGTTGAATTAATTCTGAAAATCCAGATATTAATTTTAGAAGGCCAAAAAAAAAAGGTTTTAAACCATCCCGGACCCTTAAGTCGCCCTTAGGCGGCTAACTACAATAATCGCATGGGCTTTGTTACCACGTCTTAATTTTTCATCAATTTTTTAGGTGATTTTGATTCTACCACGCCTAGAAAAATGTAAGGCTCATGTTTGCTCAATTTTATTATTTATTGAAGTCGTTTTTATATTTTAATATTTTTTACGGACGAAAAGTGAAAAAATTCATAAAAAGTTGAATATTCATGAAAAAAAAAATTGTGACATTCTTGAATTAATTCTTAAAATCCAGATATTAATTTTAGAAGGCCAAAAAAAAACAAAAAAAAAAGGTTTTAAACCATCCTGGGCCCTCAAGTCGCCCTTAGGCGGCTAACTACGACAACTGAATGGGCTTTGTTACCACGTCTTACTTTTTTCATCAATTTTTGAGGCGATTTTTTTTCTACCACACCTAGATAAATGTAAGGCTCCTGTTTGCATAATTTTATTATCTATTGACGTCGTTTTTATTTTTTAATATTTTTTACGGACGAAAAGTGAAAAAATTCATAAAAAATTGAATATTCATAAAAAAAAATGGTCACCTTGTTGAATTAATTCTTAAAATTCATATATTAATTTTAGATGGCAAAAAAAAAAACAAAAAAAAAAGGTTTTAAACCATCTTGGGCCCTCAAGTCGCCCTTAGGCGGCTAACTACGACAACTGAATGGGCTTTGTTCTCACGTCTTAATTTTTTCATCAATTTTTTAGGCGATTTTGATTCTACCACGCCTAGAAAAATTTAAGGCTCGTGTTTGCATAATTTTATTATTTATTGACGTCCTTTTATTTTTTAATACTTTTTACGGACGAAAAGTGAAAAAATTCATAAAAAATTGCATATTCATAAAAAAAAATGGTCACCTTGTTGAATTAATTCTTAAAATTCATATATTAATTTTAGATGGCAAAAAAAAAAACAAAAAAAAAGGTTTTAAACCATCTTGGGCCCTCAAGTCGCCCTTAGGCGGCTAACTACGACAACTGAATGGGCGTTGTTCTCACGTCTTAATTTTTTCATCAATTTTTTAGGCGATTTTTTTTCTACCATGGCTAGAAAAATGTAAGGCTCGTGTTTGCACAATTTTATTATTTATTGACGTCCTTTTTATTTTTTAATATTTTTTACGGACGAAAAGTGAAAAAATTCATAAAAATTTGAATATTCATAAAAAAAAAATGGTGACCTTGTTGAATTAATTCTTAAAATCCAGATATTAATTTTAGAAGGCCAAAAAAAAACAAAAAAAAAGTTTAATACCATCCCGGGAACTCAAGTCGCTCTTAGGCGGCTAACTACGACAATCGAATGGGCTTTGTTACCACGTGTTAATTGTTTCATCAATTTTTTAGGTGATTTTGATTCTACCACGCCTAGAAAAATTTAAGGCTCGTGTTTGCACAATTTTATTATTTATTGACGTCCTTTTTATTTTTTAATATTTTTTACGGATGAAAATTGAAAAAATTCATAAAAAATTGAATATTCATAAAATAAAAAAATGGTGACCTTGTTGAATTAATTCTTAAAATCCCGATATTAATTTTAGAAGGTAAAAAAAAAAAACAAAAAAAAAAAGGTTTTAAACCATCCCAAGCCCTCAAGTCGCCCATAGGCGGCTAACTACTAAAACCGAATGGGCTTTGTTACCACGTCTTAATTCTTTCACCAATTTTTTAGGTGATTTTGATTCTACCACGCCTAGAAAAATTTAAGGCTCGTGTTTGCACAATTTTATTATTTATTGACGTCCTTTTTATTTTTTAATATTTTTTACGGACGAAAAGTGAAAAAATTCATAAAAAATTGAATATTCATCAAAAAAAAATGGTGACCTTGTTGAATTAATTCTTAAAATCCCGATATTAATTT